CGGTGGGGGTGACGGCCCTGCTTCCGCCCGCGCTGCTCGGGGCAGTGGCGCAGGTGTGACCCGTGGCTGTTTTGCTGTCATTAAATCGGAGTGACTCACTGCGAATGGGAGGCTGCGCAGCTCGGTAGCCAGCTCCCCTCTTGCCTTCGGTGTCTTTGGAATTTGTAGGTCCAAGGTGGGGTATGTCGGGAAGGGATGACTCTCATGCTGTGGATGTCCTGCGTGTTGCAGATCGGTTGTCGCCAGACCCCGTTCCCTCCTGGCAGCGGTGCTCGGCTACCAGAGCACTCGGGACAGCGTCCTAAGGGGCCTTCCCTGCTGGCCTTAGGCAGGTTTCCCTATGGGTGTAAGTTAGCTGAGGCCTCACGGTGACACTGGTACCTGAAGGCAAATGCTGGAGCCGCTGTGGTAACCTGCCCCAGAGTCCGTCCCTTTTTGGTAGCAGTTGCTTACAAAGGCCAGCTGTGTTTGTCTCTGAAATGTATTGACAGCTGTCCATAAAAGCTTAACCAGAGAATTGTTCTTTGGTGACTGTAAACAAAAAGCTGCTGTTAATATGTCTTTATAGTCTCTGATAACCCATTTAGTTCACAGACTTTTCAAAGTCTGTCTTAAATTCACCAACAATAGGTTTTTGTTTTCTACAGCTATTGATTTCAGTTTTTCCAGGCATGACTTGTCTTCCTACTGCATTCTGGATCAGCAAAGTGCAGAATTAATTACTGCTGAATCATAACAGAGTCTTATACAACAGAATGCGAGTTACTTGCATAAGAAGAAGCAACTTCAGTGACACTGATTCTGCTTCTATGTGCTAATTAATGTCACCTTCCTAAGCGGCTGTTCTCTCAACACCTTAGTTTTGAGTTCTCTGGACTGTCATTTCATGAGTTACGGAAGTCACTGGGTCTCATATTTTCCTTTTCTTGGGCCATGTTAAATATGTCTGCTTAAGATATAACTCTTGTTTTATGGTGTTAATATATTTTGAGTGTAGTGGCATAATAAATCTAAAATAAATGTTTCCATATGCAGAATGGAGACTGATTGCAATCCTATGGAGTTACCCAATAATATGGGGTTTGAAGAGGATTCTGATTATAGAGACTTCGAAGGAACAGATGTGAAAGATATGAGACTAGAAGCCGAAGCTGTTGTGAATGATGTTCTGTTCGCTGTCAGCAACATGTTTGTCTCAAAAACTCTTCCCTGTGCAGAGGATGTGGCATATATCAATGTGGAAACCAGGGAAAGGAACAGATACTGTCTGGAGCTCACCGAAGCAGGACTTAGGGTAAACTAATTTGTTTATAATTTCTTAAGCCTCTTTGTTTTGAACAACGATAGTGTTCAAAAGGTGCCTAGAAAAATACTTCAGTGACGCCAAAACAGCATACATATTCCTCTTGCACTTTTATGAAAGCCTGTTTTACGTGTTTTCTCCTAGAAAGTAGATCTTTAACTAGTTACTTCCAGCAAAGCAAGAAGGGAAGTTGACGAAAGACTGGGCATTTATTTGAGACACAAAGTGATGAAGATTGAAGCAGCAATTTGTTATAGGCATGTCAGCCTTTGGGTTTCTCGGGTACCCAGATAAGTCAGTAATACAGCATGTATACAACTCCTTTTTGCACCATTTGTATTTTTTGTGCAAACATGTAGATGTAAAGACTTCTTTTTAAAAGTCATAATGACAGATTTTACTAATATTCTGAGTTTTGGACAAAAGGTATTTGAAACTGTCTCTAAATACTGCATTACCACTAAGACCCATAGTAGAAAGCACAGATTGTGATTTAAATCCAGTATCTTTTGTTCTCACATTACTGTACTACCCTGACTGGCAAAGTTAAATGTTGTGATATCTGTTTCCCATTGCAAGGTGATCCTAACCACAGAAATTTAACCGGTGATTTCTTTGTTGCAGGTAGTAGCTTATGATTTTGATCAGACTGATGACAGATTGCAAACTCCATACCATGAAACTGTCTACTCCTTATTGGACTCTCTCAGCCCTGCATATCGAGAGGTGTTTGGAAATGCATTACTACAAAGACTAGAAGCTTTGAAGAAAGATAGTCAGTCATGATTTACCCAGAAGCGAGGAAGGTTTAACGCTAGAAGGAATTCTTAGTATGAGGCACTGAGATCTTTCTTAAAAACATAATCACAAACATCTTAAGCTTTATTTCTTGCATTAATATCTAATTCATGCTAGTACTACTCTATAACATTTTGCTACAGTGGATTTGTGTATATCACAATGCTATTAAAAGCCACATTGATAAATTGCAAAATTAATAAACTTCTGTTTTCTTTTTGTAGGTGAGCAAGTAAGTTGCTTCTTACAACATTCAAAAAATTTGGTCTCTTTTCAAAGCGTTATTATCCAAAACTCTAAAAAAAAAAAAAAAATAGAGAGAGACTGAATGTTACATATACAAGTAATTTTTTTGGTGTGTGCTTACTGATAATTTTCATATCGGCTTTTTAAAATAGAAGCTAACTACTTGCTTTACCCAATTAATGAAAAATAATTGGGAAAACTACTGTTCCGCAAAGAACAGAATTTCAACTTGATTTGCTATACATAAATCTGAAAATTCTCAGCTTTGGTAACAAAAAAGATGCTTCTTGAACAGTTGAGCGTTGCTTATATACTGACAGTATCTGAGTTAAAAGCAAGGCTCAGTATTATTTGATCTGTCCTTGTCTATGGCAGCCAGCAAATTAAAAATAATAAATGAGATGTACTGCTAATATGTGAATGTATTGTCTGAATCACAAATGAGTTAAGCACAGAATTAGGATGTAATGGGCTACATTTCCTAAAAATGATGTTATATATATGCTATATATATGTATGTATGCTATATTGTAACTGTTTGGGAGGCTTGGAAGACATTTTAGCCTGTTTACTATTCTGAATGTGTGTTTACATGATGTACAGGATATACCCAGACGTATTTTTGCTTCAGCCTTTACTCTCTCTAATACAGTACTTTGGTACTCCCGTTTTTCACATTTTCTCCCTCAATTGTACAGCATCCTCTCCTAATGAATACTAAGTAAACACTGTAATGTTAATTGCATTGTGTTGGTTTGAAACCAAAGGCTGTATGAAATTTGCTAAGACTAATACAAACTGGAAGATATAACTTGTATTTTCTACTTAAAACTAGCACAAATCTCTTTATAAATCTATTGTTCTGCTGTAACTTTTCAAGTATGTACTGAATGCTAGACTTTTTAAAAATTACAGTTGGTTAGAAATACCAGTACTGTTGAACTAACATTCTGTGATGTTCATACTTTTTGTATTCTTGTATTATTCAGTATTTGTGCATTTTTATTTAAATAATCCTGCCATTATTCTGCCATGCTTTTGTGACAAGTACATGCAGTAGCTTTTTTGGAGCCACACTTAGGGATACATCGGTTCTCATGAAGTCACAGATTCCAGGGACTTTAGTAGAGCCATATTGACTTCTACCTGCTAAAGATTAGTCATATTAATTGGAGAAGCCTAGTAGAGCTGTTGTAATAGCTTTGGGGTAGTGATGTACAGCTATGACTGACAAGACAACTGTAGTTAGCGCTTCTGTTTTCCAGAGCTTGATTTTGTGTTTATTTTATTATCTTTTTAGGTTGAAACTTCCGATATTAATCCTCTGCCCTAGGGTATGCTTCCATGCTCTAAAAATTATTCATAGGCTCTCTTTTGCACACAGGTCTGTGGCACGTGGTTAGTCCTCTGTGAGGAGAATGTACTTTACCAGATTTATATTTGAATATTTTCCCTTGCAGCTGATTTACTTGTTCAATTTCAATGACTAAAGCATTAAATAAATGCGCCAGTGTGTTGTAGTTTTCTTGGGGGTGAAGGTACTGGAAAGCGGGGAGTGAACAATCAAAGTCATCATGTTAATATCTTAAATATGAAGTAGTTAACAAGTATTTGAAAACCTTTGGCTGTAAACTTGTATCTGCTGAAACTTTGTCGTGAAAAAACAAGTTAGGTGATTGTAAGGGGGACTTTGAAAGGAAGTGTTAGAAATACAAGTGGAAAAATGCCAAAGCAAATGTTACATTGCTAAGATGATTTTTTTCTTAGACATCTTTAAAATGATTTGTCATTTTGCGTGCTTATTATAAATCTAAGCTGAGAAATACTTTCAAAACAGGTGTTTTGTAGGTGTTACCAGAAGAAATTTCTGTTGTTTCTGATAACGTACTGCAGTGTTAACTCAAAACTGGGAAAGCTATGTCATTCCACTGCCTCTGGGTTCACGAGTAGGAAGAAGATGCTCTCCAGTCCCTGTACTTCGGCATCGCCGCCTGTGTGGCGGGAGCTTCTCTGGAGCACTGACAATGGGGAGTTTCAGAAGGGCGCTTTAGACCATCAGTCGTTTTCATTATCCAAACCCCTGAATGAGTCCTGCTTGGTCTAACGTAGCTGTTAATCTATGAATTCCCCAAAAAGCCTCAAAGTCTGCCCGCTACCTGAAAGGATGTCTAATAACCTAATTAAAGCTATTTTTGCCTCAGCAGAACTACATACATTTTTTGTCCTGTTCGGTGTTCAGAAGTCAGGAATAAAGTCCCTAACTTACTGACTGCCGCTATCCCTGTTTGTCCTAGGATTGGTTGAATCAGGTGTAAAAAAAGAGTACACGTACACGCTAAATGCCTGTTTATATTGACGATGGCCTTACCGGGCGAGCTACCCGG